TATATATATGAGGAACATATATAATGAGATTTTTTATATCAAAAAACATGCATAGAAAAACTTCAAGGATAACAAAAGGGGGTCTAAACGCTGTAGCCTGTAGGTATTGTCTAAATGCATATAATGAGAATCTTATTATGCATATCAATTTCAATATTAACCTTCTCCATGCCTGCCTTTTGCAGTTTTGCTAGATCAGCTCCGTGTTTTCCCTTTTAAACTTCTATTTTAGTCGTTGATAGAGGAAGGAAGGGGGGAGGTGAGGTAGGAGGCTGGTGGAGAGAAATGGACAGGTATAAGCGTTGTAGCCTGTAGGTATTGGAGGAGATTGAGTATAAAAGGGAGACCACTAAATTAGGCTCAATTTTCACCTGGTGGCAGGAATGCAAAAGGTGGTCACAATCGATCACTACTAACAAAATAAAAGTTGAAACTTTTCATCTATCCATAAGAACCAGATGTGCAGAGAACCATCTCAAAGGTAAGAATCTCTGGTCTAATATTTCAGTAGTCCAACTTGGTGGCACTACCAGATAGCATAGGACCCAAAACAGGGCAGAGTTATCCTTCTCCACCAGTACATTGTTCATGAAAGCGATTCAAACGACATGAATGAACCAACTATTTTTAAGGTGGCCTACTGAACAGGTATTGGTTTTGGTTCAAAATGGTAAAGCCATTGCGCAGCAATCCAGAGAAAACAACCTAAAAGACACATGGTATGTATTCATTTACTTAATGTGAATACTAAGTTAGGATAAGAAGGGGTCTTTTGCACATCTGTACTGAAACACTTCACTAGTGTGAATTTTTAGTCCGAGTCACTGAAATTTGATCTCTTTTTAATCCTAAATGTAGTAATAATTGTGTAAGAGACTCATTAACTAGTATAAATTGTCACGAATCAACACCAGGAGAAACCACACAAGTACTAACTAAACAGCAGCAGTAGCCCACACAACTAAGGTTTGCAAAGAAACAGCAGCAGCAACCCCTGAAGCAGCTAAGGTACATATTTCACATAAACTTCGGTTTGAAAAAATTCAGATTTCACATAAACAAAAAACAACCCAATAGTCTACTATCAACTAAGCCCCTGAAGCCCACACAACTAAGGTTTGCAAAAATCCAGATTTCACATAAATAAAAAACAGCCCAATAGTCTATTATCAAGAGGATGAAAGTTAAAGAAGGAGAAGTTGATAAGAAGATAGGGAGCAAGTGATAGAAGAATTGTCCAGAATGAAGGAAGAAGAAATGCCGAGAAGGAAGAAGAATTGTTAAGAAGCAGCGGAGTAAGTACCTGTTGTAGCATTCTGGTCATCAAACTAGCAAATTGTTCATGCATCCTCTTGTCCACTTTTAGATGGATCCTCTTGTCTACTTCTTCATTTGTGTGTTCACGCTCCTCTGCCAACTTCCTTTGCAACTCAAGTTCCATATTTCTTTGTAACTGAGAAGCCATTCGTTCATGTTCTTCTTGCAACTTTCTATCCATCTTGGCTTGCATCTCTTGACGCATAATTTCCATAGCAGAAGATACGTTGGACTTTATGTTTGCATGCTGCATGTTACTCTTTTTAGGAGGCTTTTTTTCGTATCCTTTTCCGCGAACATATCTTGTTCTCTCACCAAGAACGGTGGATAAAATCTCATCTTTAGTCATTGAATGCTCGATTTTTTTAGATTGTTGCTGAGCGACAATTTCTTGGAGTTGTCCCTGCATTTATGCATAATCATTTACATCAAAACATAATAAAACACATTGAATGTAACTTGCAGAAATAGAAAGATAATAAGTCTATGATTTTAGATAATTACATTAATTTATTGAGATTGTGAATCCATCCACACCAGTTCTCCTCTATTATCCTTGCGTGTATACTGGATCTCCCAAACTTTATCTGGTGTGTCTATTTCTCTAGTAATAGCATTTCTCTGCAATATAATTTCGGAAAAAAAATATATAAGCAAATACAGAAATATGTAAATAACGAAGAAACATATGTGATAGTAGGGGACTAAATATATTTTTTCCGTAGATTCCTCTACTTCTGCAAAAGATCTGGTACCACAAGTATGCTTAGTTATTTGCTTTTCTCTATTTCTTTTGTTACTCTCACTTACAACCTGTAAGTAAACAGATTAATAAATCACCTTTCAAAGATATGAATGGTGCCCTTTGGTTGGCAGAATCATCAGGTATTAAGTTAGTACCTTAAAATTCTGACGTCCGAAATATTATATTAGGTGTTTTCATTCCTCAAGTTCAACATCTTTAGGTTGACGAGACAATCTTTCTTCACTAGTTTTGTACTTAGAGTACATCTTGCTGAGTCGAGCTTTCCATGCTCTAAAAAGCCTTTGCATAGTGCTAATTGCAAAGGCTTGAAACCTATGCTCTTGCAGCCCACTGTAAACTTTAAATTTATCCTGACAATAAATGTAATATTATATTCGATATCCTAACCACATAAATAAACAACAAAAAGCCAAAAAATTTAACAAGAATCCCATGGAATGACAAGTTTAACAAGGGCACAACCCAAACAAGGACATTATTGCTAGCTGCATGTTAAAAATTTTGCCTTCTAGAATCATTATAAAGAACCCCAAATATAAAATTTTTCCTTCATTCTTGTTGTATTTGGAAAATCCTAAGAAAACCCAACAAACTTTCGTATAACCCAAAAGAAAAATGAAAGTATTAGGTATTTGAACACATACATGATTTGAGCTTTTGGGTCAGTAACTAGATGCAGAGAAATGGAGCAGCCAGCATAGTTTTTCCTTTAATTAGGATTTGAGAAATGGAGCATCTATATGAGATTCACATTTTTTGATTTTAGGGATTTTGAGCATAGGGGAATTTTGAGCAGAGAGAGCATTTCTAGTGAGAGGGGCAACAATTTTGGTCATTTAGGCCTTCTGTTCTTTTAATGATATGCGCCTCAATTCTTTGTTTCTTTTAAAAAAAATAACTAAGTAATAGAGGCGACCCTGTCGCTCCAAAATATAATTAGCGGCAATATTTTTAAAGTCGCCACAAAATCCGTGGAGCCAAAATTTTGTTCTCGCGAGAATAAAATATTTCAACCTTTAGTTGCACATATCAGAAGCGACCTAATAATGTCGCTACTAAATATTGTCATTTTGTAGCAACATTTAAAGTCGCTGCTAAAACTATAACTTTTGTTGCAACCAAATGGATTGCCACAATATGTCGCCACAATAAGTCCAGTTTCTTGTAGTGATTAAAATATTCTTATGGGAGAATTCACATGATAGTTATTTTCTCATTTGTCTAACAATAATTTTTCGTTGATGTACGATTTCAAGGTTAACCTAATTTAATAATTAAGCGTAAAATCAATTTGAAACCTAAATAATTATATGTTCTTAAACTTATTGAACTACCATTTCAAATTCGAAAAGGTATTAGAATTTAACAGATTTTGACATATGAATAAAGAGATTGACGCATTTCAATAACACTTGATAAGAAAGTGATGATACAACTCATTATTTAACGTAAATAAATATAAATGCACTTTATAGTTCTAGTAAATATTACATCCCATGAGAAAATAACGAATATTTCTAGACATTTTCTAAAGAAAATTCTATATAAAATCTTAAAAGTATATATAAAAATTATATATTTATATGTCGGGTTGGTTCAGATTTTTTACTCAATACCAAACCAAATTAAATCAAACCAAATCGGTTTTCTTTAATCGGTTTGGTTTGATTTTTTGATTTGGTGCGATTTTTCGGTTCGGTTTGAATACCTCTAACTGTATGGATAGTTGTATGAATTTTGTATTTAAATTGTATACAAATTTAATAAAAATTATATTTGAATTGTACACATACAAATCACATACAATATTAAAAAGTTCGAGCATCTCACACATTTGTCACCTTTATTATTGATTATGTTAAAGAACTATGACTTGTTTCTTTAATTTTAAACTACTAAAAAGTAGGAATTAACGACAGATAAATTCTGCAGTTAACAGAAAAATTTATTGATAATCCTATTTAGCAACGAAAAATGATAAATTAATTATGTTAGGTACCAACGATTTAGCGACAAATTAACGATGAAATTCGTAGGTTATTCCAGTTTTTTTTAGTGTTGCACACTTTCTCATAATCTTACTCTCCACTTGTTTTGGAGAATAAATTCGTCATAGTTCCAAGATAAATATGCTACCTAATACTGACAAAATTTGCAAAACCTCACAAGGTTTTTGCCTAAAAATTAGAATTATGTTGGCTATCTAACTTTTTGAATGATAAACAAGCCTCTGTCAGTTCTAGGGGAAAGAGGCATTTTTAAAACATTTTTTTGTTGCAGAACCCTGGGCTATGTGAGCCAATTATCCTTGCAAATGTGAAATAATTAGAGGTTGTAATTATGTAGTATTTGGGAAGAGTATTCCCGTATAAGTCGAAATTATGTAATATATAAAGGAGAGATAACAATAGAAGAGGGAGAGATGATGGTAGAAAAGGAGGGAGGGGGAGAGTGTTGGAATTGGACTTACCTTAATTGGTTATAGCCTGAAAGGATAGTGAAGTAGCCCAAGTGATGGATAAATAAAATGCCTAATACTAAGGACCCGTTTGGCCATGAGTTTTGCCAAAATAAATTTGGGATTTATTTGGCAAACACATGTTTGGCCATAGATTTTACCCACATTTTGGCAAAATCTCAAATCTTAAATCCAAAATCCCAAAATCACCTCAATTGCTGATTTTGGGCCAAAACTTGACCTTTACATTTTTAAATTTTTTTAAATATTATCCCAAACTTTTATAATTTATAAAAGAGCCCACATATTTTACGACCAACTAAATATTTGATGAATATGCTCCCTTATCAGTTCAATCCTTTGTGCATCTTACTTTTGCTTCTGATTTATAGGCTAAATGGCTTTCTGAACACTCATATCAGTTAACTTTTTCTTCTTAATTAGGAGTCGTAATTCTCTAATGGGATTTCACTATAATTAATGATTTATATAGTTCATTATAAAAATAATAATTTTGTACCAAACTTATTTATGTTCAGGACTATGATTGTGATAATGATACTATTGGGTATTTGTGATAGTTTTTAGACCTTGTAGGTATAAGTCATGTTTCATATTTTTTCAAATAAAAAGTGAAATATGTTTTGAAAAATCATGTCCAAACACATTTTCATCTTCAAACCAAACTTCACCCAAATCAGATTTTTCAAAACAAATTTGGGAATCTATGGCCAAACGCTAGCTAAATATTGTGTGTGTGAATAAGTGAGGCTTAATAACTATTGGTCTGTGATGGGTAGACACTCTTTATAAATAGAGGCCAACCCCCCTTTCCCTAGCTATCAAAAAAAAAAAAACCCTAGCGTATTCTGTCTCTTGAATACGTGGTAACGGTAGACGTCTCATCAGTCAAGTTCTCCGGGCTGTGAGAGCGCGTAGCTAGTGGATTGTGGAAGTTGGTCTCAGGCTTAATCGCCGTTTGTTGTCGCTGATAAATCCATGGAGTTTAACGGTACGTTTCCTTATACTCTAACTCAAGATTATGATTCTATATCTGTATAATTGTGTCTTAATCTCTGCTATAACTGCGATTTAATAATCTAAAAATTGGTATCAGAGCCACCTTTGTTTGGGATTAAAATGACGAATTAATCTTGGGTTTCAAAAAAAAAAAAATAAATAAAANATTTTAGATTTCACTGTTTGGAATTGTATGCGCGGTGGTGCTAATGGGGCTTTCATTGAAGCATTGCTTTAACGTAGTGCTTTTAAAGATGGACTTATATTTGTCCTTTAATTATAACTGATTGTCCCTTTTATTATGTGGAATCCTTAACTCACAAATCTATGCATTAAATTATAAAATTTTAAAGTTACTACCACTTTAAGGAAAAACAGAACGTGGAGTGCTTAGTCAGAATTAATCTGACGTGTTTATGAGATTCCTCAATTTCCATTTATTAGTTGATCAAATACTTTGGTTTATCTTTGATCATTATAATGGTTATGCTTGTTTATGGGCATACTGTAATATATTAATACAATAAACTATTGTTGAGACCTATTTAATTATAGTTAGAGAGTGGAATAAATTAATATTCAAAAGGTTTAAATGTATGGGCTTATAATTTATTTCACATGTTATATGATATTGTTTAAATATGAATTTATGATTAATAAATAGTTTCCATCAAAATGGTTTATTTATTTGGAGTCATTGAAAATTCTTAGAACTTTATACATGTGAAAAATATTATACATGGATTGAGATCTATGATTAATAGATAGTTTCCACCAAAGTGGTCTGTTTATTTGAGTCATTGAAATATTCTCAATGCACCATGTCTAAATTATCCTTTATAAGTGTACACTAGTGTTGGAGATTTTCCTTTTGATACTAGTGACGCTAAATTAATGCAAAGGATAAGTTGTTGTAAGAGGAGGTTTTGTGTCTCTTACTTAAAGGAAGGACACAATGTATGCCTTGTACTCTTGGATAATAAGGGGGAGGTTTTGTATCTCTTGCCTAAAGGTGACGATGCAATGAATGCCTTGGACTCCTTGATTTTTAAAAGGGGAGACAGCTGCATCTTCTACCCAAAGGAGAGGTGTAATTGTCACGACCCGAAATTTCCCACCGACGGGACCGTGATGGCGCCTAACATTTCACTTGCCAGGCAAGCCAACGTTAGAGAATTATTAAACCAATTCCTTATTTCCATTTAGTAAATAACAATAATTAACTAAGATGAAATATAATAAGTGCGAAATATCATAAAACTGTATTAATTACTATCACCCGAGATCTGAAGTCACAATTCACGAGCATTCTAGAATTTGCTACAAGTAATAGTGAGAAAGAAATACAAATGTCTGAATGAAAGAAACAGTAGAACAGAAAAGATAGACGGGGACTTCAAGGTCCGTGAGCCGACAGATCTACCTTGAATCTCCGGACAACGGACCAATAGCAAAATCTCGATCAACCCGAGCCGGTATCAAAATCTGCACAGAAAGTGCAGAGTGTAGTATCAGTACAACCGATCCCATATACTGGTAAGTGTCGAGCCTAACCTCGACGAAGTAGTGACGAGGCTAAGGCAAGACACCTACAAATCAACTTGTACAATTTAACAGTATATATGCAAATAATAGAAATGAAGAACTACACAGAAAATGTCGGGAGGGGAACATACTGAGGGAAATACAAGATAAAGAACTACAACAGAATGATCACCGGAGCAGTCAATATACCATGAATCAACAAGAATAATGAATACAGTAAGAAAAAATGCACGGCATCACCCTTCGTGCTTTTACTCTCAATCTCACCATAAAATTAATAGAAACGGTACGGCATCACCCTTCGTACATTAACTCTCATATCATGGCACATCATCACCCTTCGTGTATTAACACTCACAATATAGCACGACAT